CCTCTGTTGCAAACACTATCCAGACAGCTGGAGTACAGCAAAAGCACTACTACGACCGTCACATTCGGCATACAGCTTATCAACCTAATGATCTTGTATGGGTTGACCTTCCGGCTATGTCAAGACAAACTTTCTCCGAAATGGGCCGGTCCATACAAAGTCTTGAGCAGACTAGACTCACCGACAGGTGACACGGGAGTAACTTATAAAGTGAAAGATCTGCTTGATTCTAGGTCAAAGCCTAAAGTCCTTCACTATAATCGATTAAAACCTTATCGCTCTGCGTGGTCACCTGAACCTAGTCCATTTCTGACATCCCCTCAAGATGAACGGCCTCCACTTACAGCACTATCAGGTTCCAGACCTTATGGCTTTCATGACTTTTTTGTGCCAGGGCCTATAAGACCAGCTCAACTGATGCAAGAGAGAGATGTTATATTACCTCCTATTCAGTTTGAACGTTCTGAGGGTTCTAGAGGTGAATCCCAAATAGAACTTCCTACTGACAGGCCTACAAATGGCATGACAACAAGGTCAGGACGGGGTGTGCGTCCTCCATTACGTTATAGAGATGCATAATGGCTTATTAACATCTGAGTATAGGATTACGTAATGTAGGATTGATAACAGAGTGGAGTAATGTGACATGTATTAGAAAGGAGGAAGCTGATACATTCCAAGTGTTGTTTGTATTTTGTTAGATTTTTTTTTATAATGTTCAAAAATTCTAAATCTTGTTTTGACTGAGTTCCATACCAAAGTGTGTTGCTTGAAAAAAAATTCAAAATTCAAATGCCTAGAAAACTTTTTGTGTGTGTGTGTGTGTTTTGTAAAGGATGTACTGTTTCTGTTTTGTATTTTCCGGAAACGAGGACGTTTCTTTTCAGAAGGGTGAATGTAGTGTAAGAATTAAATTGAGTTTAACAGAGTTGTATAACTACAGAGATTATGTTGGAAAAATAAATACTGATGTTATATTTGAGTATTCAATGTTAATTCTGCAGTATCCATTTTGTGTTGTTGGATATTGTTGTGAGGACTTTTATTTTGAATGAGTGAGAGAGAGAGAGACGGGATTAAAAAGGAGCGGGAGTGTTAAGAAGATCTCGTTTGTGTCTGAGGGTTTTATTGTATTAATCTTCTAACTTCCTCAGTCTTAAAGCCCCGAAAGCACCCACGAACAAGTATTACACTTCTTTAACAATTTTGAAAAGCTGCTCAAAAAGCTGTATAGGCCGCAGCTTAAACATATCATCACGAAAGCGGTCGCGATGTTTCACCCTCACACCGCGCCTGTAAAAATACATGGATCAATCAATGCGGTCGTTTCTGAACTTAAAGGTCAAATTAATGTACAGGCCAAATTGCGTGAGCTGAAACGCGAAGTTGAAGGGGAAGATTGTGAGTATGCTGTAGATGATGCAGTTAATGATTTCTGTAATTTGTACACATGCGTGCAGACTCTGGCTGGTGTGTAAACGTTGAACAACGTCTGTCAAAATGTGATTAGCTGGTAATTTTTATATGCTTTCCAAATAAAATGAGCTGTGTCATGAAAACACTGTGTTATTATTGCTAGAGGTTCACGATGGATAACAAGCACTTGAAACATGTTTATTATATGCCATCAAACCCTGGGTCATTTGGTGGTGTAGATAGATTACACAGGGGCACCCTTTGTTAAAATTTTTTCTCGAGTTTTATACATTTTGCCCCCAATTTGACAGCGTCATGGTTAAGGGGTTATTTGAATTAACATGCGACGTTGTTGTCGTCGTTATACAATACAGTGTCAGTGTCGCAGAAACAACCATGTACAAAAAACGTGAATCAAACTTCAAGGGTTAACTCATGGCTCAGACGGGTGGCTAGGCATTACAACAGGTAGACCAAAGAAGCACCGGAGTTTAACAAAGATCAATAAAACATTAGATAGAAACCAACAGAAGACTCTGACATAAATAGGGGGCTAAACGGGGTAGAACACATGAGGACTGGTTAAGGGTTACATAATGGGGAAATATACTGTACTGGATGAGAGTGAAAACTGCTTGGTTAGAAGAATTGTTCCAGCGTGACCAGCGTGACACATGACATCTACAATCAACAATTTAACCAATAATGGTAGCTTTGCAGGTTTCATGGATGTAGATAGAGTAAAAAGTAAAAGAAACTAATTGCAAACACTATTTTTCATTATTATTATTTTATTTACTTACGCGCAACAAAATAAAATAAAAACAGGTCCATAACCCTTAACATTTGAAAAGACATTCACGCATGTCGGAGTGGCTAGTGTCGCTCCACTCGCCAGTAAGCCAGAACGGCTGTATAAATGTCACTCGTGTGTTGAGGGTCTATCCTCCTGAGACTCCACCCATTCATTTATGTCCATTGTAGAGGACATTTTGTTTTTGCATCTATCTTTTCACTGATGTAAGGAAACATATTTATTCCTGTTGTACACTAAAGAGGACATGCTGTGAAATTAAAAATAAAGATACATTTGAAAAAATCTAAATTGTAAGATGTCTTATTTCCTCCAAAGACAAATAACCTACAATTGAAGGACACTTTTTTCCTTGGGTCTCAGGAGGCTATAATATCACGCATTAGCGTAGTGTGTATATCACTAACATATTTCAGCTTATTTACAACGGTATCAATAGCCCCTTGAACAATTGCTGCTGGTGGCGGATTTGGGGTAAACGTTGTGATACAGTTTGCTAATATATCTGCAACCCGTGGCGTGCACAGCTTTTTTGCAACCCTTTCAAAATTATAAAGCAGATAATATGGCTCACCGCCGGTCGTCATTTGAACGTGTGTCTGCGTCAGTGCGCATGCGGATCCCCCTAAGTCGTCATTTCGCCCACATTGTTCAAACGGATCGCACGCACATGGCCGTGCTGCTTGGATAATGGCAGCCTAGACCACGCTAGGTTTGTGCTACACTGACGGAACCCAGAGCCGCTATCGATGGATCTTTGCGTTTGGTGAAATATTTTTTCTCCTTTACATTGAAATAAAACTGTTAAACTGATTATGGCTTTTTCTCGTTTTTAAAAACTTGGGCTAAAATAGTTGTGCTTGTTTCACATTTCCTCTTGTTTCGCTCGGGTATGTCTCTACTTAAATATTGTGCCTCTAGTTAAACGTTAGGGTCTTGTGTCGTTTGTGCTTAAAATACGGTGAAATGTAAGGGGTTTAAGTGCTTTCTTCTTTTACAAACTTGGCTAAAATATTTGTGCTTGTTTAAAACTCAGCATTGGTTCTTCTGACATTGTTTCGTTCAGGGCATGTTTGTACTTGTTTAAATTCTGCCTGCTTTTCTTTCTTTCTTTTTAAAAGTAACACTAAAGTTTTTCTTGCTTAAAACATTTTGGTGCTTTCTTCTTTTAAAATACGCCGGGGCGCTCGTGTCTACTGAGGATGGACGGAACCCCGCAGGACGTCTATACACTAGCTTACGTTCATCCTGCTATACGCTTTATTATTCCTTAAAATGTAATTAAAAATAACACATTAATAAAATACATGTAATGTATTTTTATTCTATTAAAGTTTAACGGCAACCCTTAACACCCCCAAACCATATGTCCCCCTATTGGCAAAACGTGGCATAAGCATGTATAATACCATTTGGCCAAAACCCCTCGACCAATCAGAACAAAGGATACGCCCACCTCCCACTTATGACGTCATAGATGGGGAAGTTTTAAGCTCCGCCCATTGTACCAGGTAACCTCTCTAGTGACACTATCAGCTGTGTCCATGTGAGGGAGCCACAGGCCACATTCTGTGCAGTGAAGCCCCAGAGCCACCTGGGTCAGATCCGGAATAACCAGGGCTGCGTTTCCCAAAAGCATTGTAAGCCTAAGAAGTTCGTAAAAATGATCGTACAACTGATCTTAATATTACGGTCTGTTTCCCAAAAACATTGTAACTTAAGTAGCACTTGAAAATCTCCGTAGATCTACAAATGCTCTGGAGTAATCGTAAAGCCTTAAGTGCATCGTAAGGAGACAGAGTTATGAGGGTTTTGTAGCAATATCGTCCCAGATTTTTTGTTTTCCTTTATTTGTATGACTGCCCTTAAACCTGCTGAAAAGTATATGTTTTTGTAGCTCCACCTCCTCTAAAATTATATTAATTTCCTCTTTTTGAAAAACGTCTTTTCTTTGTTTTTTGGTTTCAGCCATTTTGCTAGTGTCTCCACCTCTAGGTATGTGCTTATTTAAATGTTTCTCCTATTAGCAAATGCACATCAGGTGAAGATAATTAGGTTAAACTTTTCAAAAATAAATGTAAGAGCTTATTTATTTCTTTATTTATTTTGATGTGAGATAAGCAATTGTTGATAAAGAAATTGATAAATAATTCTACTTAAATAATTAAGGTTTCATATAAATATCGAAAATGATGCTGGTGTCATTTCCAGCAAGGACTGTAAGACTGTTTTATGCGAGATTGGAGCAAGACTGTTTTTACAGAATGACATTTCCAGTTAATTTATGTTTTTAAACTTGCTCAAGAAGAAATTAAAGGACTTTTTATGTTATTCAAGTTGAATATAGTAGAAGAAGAAACGGAAATCAAAACTTAGATGGATTGCTATAACAGCATGTGCAACAATAACGAGCCATTCTACAGTGCGACATATCAGCACTTGACCAACGGATAGCGTCTTCTAAGTAGCACTTAAAGCAGGGCTACGTGCAATTATGTTAAGTGCATTTTTGGGAAACGCACGTGAAACAATAACGAACGTTCGCAAAATGACTCGTAGAAAACGCTCTTAAGCGCTAAGACCAATCGTTATCGGGAAATGCAGCCCAGGGCGTTTGGCTTAACTGGGTAATATGCATCTGGACAGAACAGAGACAACAAACAAGCACATAAATAATGTATAAGACAACAAAGAATAATAACTTAGAAATTAATGTACTCTTGGCAGTGAAAATAACGTCTCCAGTATGGCTGAAGGCAAACAGACTTACTATGACATCATGGAGGGTGAGTGCTTTTGGTTGCTTTTGGCTGGAGTTCTCAGAATCAGTGTCAGACGCTACAGTGAAAAACCATAGATAAAGTCACAGGGTTTGGTTATATTCTATACATACATACAAAAGGATTGCAGGCGATTTACTGAAGGTGATATTTACACTTAAATTAATTTCAAATTTAAATGCTCTTTATACACATATTCAGTCTTGGCAACAGCAATACAGGGTAACAATACTCACTGCCGGCTTTCCCATAGCCTGAAACACAGAGGGACACAGAGTCAGACACAGACACTCAGACTCTGTGCATCATTCGGGTGTCAGAGGCACCAGTTTAATGACTGTGTGCAATTACATGCTTTGAAACATGTCAGTGTGGACGCCATTGTTCTCTGTGTCTTGACTTTTCTGTTACCTGTCCTGCACTTCCTCCACAACACGACCCCAGTGACAACAGCAACGAGAGCCAGAGCAGCAGCCACCAAGCCTTCGCCCCAGGAATCGCCTCCTAAAATAAGGTTAAAGCACCATGTTCACCCCTGACAGTGACGCCCATTAGCTGCTCTCTCTCATTACTGTGTCGCTGCTCCTCTTACCCTGATTGGTCCTTTTGTTCTTGTCCTCCAGCAGCACAGCAATGTCATCCTGGAGGCTCTTGTGCTGCACGACACAGCTGTAGCTGTTCATCTTCCAGTCCTCAGGCTTCACCGTGAGTTTGGATGAGATCTGGAATGTTCCGTCGCCGTTTGGCAGGGTCTCCCCCACCTCCACATCACTGTGCATGTCCTCTCCATCTTTCTGCCAGGTCACCACGATCCCTCTGGGGAAGAAGCCGGTTGCGTGGCAGGTGACAGGAGAGGAGGGGTCCTTCTGCAGCAGAGACACCTCAGGGCGGACTTGGGGAGGAAGACAAAAACATCCATAAATAAAACGCAACACTTCATCACCAGCAATGATGTATTCCTTAGTATATCTGCCAGAAGGTGTTAATGATCTAATACCATCTAATACTGCTGATTGTGAGAATTAGTCCAGGTGGGACGGCAGACAGAAGCACATGGTGGGGGGGGACAGGAGCTAAGAGGAGCTTAAACATCACCTTAGGGGTGGGGCTAAGGATTAGGATTAAAAAAAAATTAAAATTGTTGATGTGGTCGGGCATCGCGGTCTGTGTGGTCACATAATGAGGTGTAGTAGACTTTTGGCATGTTGATGTGTGTCAATTGCACATGTGGAAGGAACTGATTACTAGGTGTTTCCAGTAGGTGAAATCTGTTGCTCTGCTGGAATATCACTGCTGTATGCAGTGCTGATCATGACCATCTGCACACATGAACAAATGTAGCATGTATGCAAAAGTGACTGTGCGTGAACTGTGAGAACAATGAAAAGTGAAGTATGAACTTGGCTTTAGGTCCTGTTGTGCCCTCTAGTGTGTTACAACCTGACACTCAGTGTATCTGCTAAGCAGGACAGTCCCAGCCCCAGACCTGCTGTACTGTACCTGTCCTCTCCAGTGTGCTCTTCCCATAGCTCACATACTTCTTCAGCCACACAATGCAGGTCTGGGTCAGGTAGGCTTTACTTTTCCATAATATAGCACTGTCATGATTCCATTTCACTGTAGTAAGAAATGCCTGCTGCACTGGAGTCACAAAAGTCATGGTCTTGAAGTCCAATGCAATAAAGTCACTCCCATCATAGCCAAATTGTTCAAGACCACCTGTGGCCCCAGTTTCATCATCCCACTCACAGCCGTACATCTGCTGAAATGTGTGGATCCCTGAACAGAAAGAGGAGAGAATTAGCAGGCAGGTTTGATATGGTTTCATCCTCTGGGTGTCATTTTCACAGCATTTCAAACAGGCCTGTCAGCAGCTCCTCACTCTCAGCATCCTGCATGTACACTGCAGCTTTCAGGCCTTTTTAACTGTGTGACATTAAATTCACACACAAGCTGGGAAAAAATACAAAAGTAACATCCTGAAGGGACCATCACCTCTTCACAGACCCCCCCCCCCTTTTGTGTAGTGGTCCTGTTTTCCTGTAATAAACTTCACCCTTCAAGGGGCACTGGCCTGCACTATTTCTCTCCATGAGTCTCCTTGCCCCGAGACAAAACACAAACTGTTAGTGATGCCGCCCAGACGCTCTGATGTCCTGAGAGGAGCCACATCAGCATTCAGTCTGAGTAAGACGGAGCCCTTTGTCTCTGTGACCTACAATCAGCCCCCTGACTGAATACCACACATTTTATTCACAGAAAGCGACTCTACACATCCAGTCGCTCCTATGTACACAGTGTTCTCTGGCCTGGACTCTCCCCCTCTGCAAACCCCCCCATGTGAAATACGGTGTGTAGATGCACAGTAATAATCAGCCCCCTGCAGCTGACACACACAGAGCAGGCAGACATTTCCCAGCCCGTCTCATTGGTCCACAGGCGAGTCCCTGTAACCGGGGGCAAACGCAGGAATCAGGTCCGGCCTCTTGTGCTTTTGGCGGACAGAGGATGTGGAGGGTGGGGTCATGAAGAGCAGCCACACACTCACACACCGCGCTGCACATCACACCTCCATGTGTGACTGTATATCCTGACTGTCTCACACTGACCCACTACAGCGCAGAGGTGGTGGAGTAAATGGGGTTTAGGTTATAGCAACATGATTACTTAGGCAGCTACATGATCTGAACCCACAATCTACTGAAAAGGAGTCCTAACCAACAGAGATACACATTGCCTGTCAGTGATCCGGGCGGCTCGGGTGCGAGAACGAGGCATGGTGCAGGAACAAAAAGGATGGACGACCCACTTGCGGCTCAAAGAACAAAAATGGGGTTTATTAAACTGAACTAAGAAAAACACAAGAAAGGACTAACAAAACAAAGGACCACGAGGGATCAAAAACTAAAAGGGGATAAACAAAGACTACAAATCACAAATACTGGACAGGTAAGCAGTGTACAGCTCTAACCTCACAAGACTTAAGACAATCACCATCACAATCACAATCACAATCAACGAACCACTAGGGAACAGAACAGAAGCAGGGACTTAAATACAGAAACCAAAACTGGGTAATAAGACTAACACAGGACAGGTGAGAGTAATTAACAGAGACCAGGAAAACAGGGCACAGGTGAAACTAATAAACTCAAAGGAGGAAAACAAGGAAACTAAGAACTAACCAAGGAAACAGGGAAACATAAACCAACACTAGGGAATTACAAACAGGTAAAGACACAAGCAGGGGCACAAGGAACAAAACCAAAACCAACTACAAAATCAGACACAAGAACTAGAGGAACTCAAATGAAACATCAGGGAGCAAAATACAAAAACAGAGGAGGTGGGATTTGAACACAGGACAAGGATCACAGACAACCACATGCTCAACACATTGAGCCAAGTGGTCCGACAGGAAACAGGGGAGAACAAAGACTAACATGAAGAACAGGATGACCAGCAACACCTGCTGGCCAAAGGGCAAGGGACGCAGAGTGGGACAACAGGGGCTGACCCTGACATCACCCATAACTAGCGCTGGGCGGTATGACGAAAAATTTGTATGAACAGTTATATATGGAGAACTACTCCTAACTTGTAAGTTAAAGTCTGAAGATCATGTATAAACCTGAGAACATGCAGCTATTTACTGCAGAGAGCAGGCAGATTCTGGGGTTTGATCCCAGCTCCAGTCCCTGCTGCTATCTGCTCACATCCCACAGAATGAAAGATCCAGCCTTTCAGGAACTGCAAAGTCAAGGCAGCCTGAGACAGACTCAGCAGCACAACGGGGAAATGGCCAGATGACCATGCTCGAGTGGGGTGCAGGCCTGGGAAGGGGGTCATGTAATAAATATAATAAAGCCTATAAAAATCATGTCTCAGCATTCCAATTAATTCCAAAATAATTCAAATAAAAGCCTACCCATATTACAAAGGTCAAACATGACTGAAACTGGGAAAAAATATAAAAAAGATATTTTTATATTTTGTTTAGTCACAGTCTACTTTGAAAGTTTATTAGTAAAAAGCAAAGACAAGATACGGTTATTTGTGCAGAACATATTACACGGATGCGATTGAAAGTATTTTATGGAGATCAAATTGTACAGAATAACAATTACACAGTAAGAATGACACGTGAACTCAACCCAGAAGGTTCCCCATTGACTATGGTAATCGAACCAGGAACTTTCGCGATGTAAGGCAGCAGCATAAACCACTGTACCACCATGCCAATGTACTAAGCCCTTGTAACATATACATAACTTACGCATTTAGTCTGACTGCAATTCATTGCCAAGCCAACTCCCTGGCTGTGTTTATGGCTACAGTATTGCCTTTTTTTAACGATGACATCTTTGTATTTTTCATACAGCTCCATCAGCAGCGTTTATTCTGCGGCGGATAGAAACACCGCTCTCGTTTTACAGGTTTTCCGACTCATTTGATTTATTCGATTTATTGTTTATCCATTCATTTGGGCTTCTTAAATATCCCAGGTGTGCGCACTAAGTGAGACTATGCAAGTAGGTCTTGTATGAGCCTCAATTAGTTAAAGCTGAGTTTAGATCAGTTAGGCTAAGTGGCTAAGTTTAGAGATGGCACTAGTTTGAGTCTTACTTTTTCGGGTTTTCTTTAGCTACTTTCATGGAATACCAACATTGCGGATGAACCAGGTAAAAAGACGTCAGTGGTGTGGCAATTTAAAGAAGCCTGCGACACGCGACAGACTGATGCTATGTATTGTAATCTCTGCCTAAAACTGGAAATACTATGAATTTATTTTACCACTCAAAGCATTACCTTCCAGTACAACATACAGAATGCAAGTGCTTACAGTTAGAGACACCAGCAATTAGTGTTGCCATTTCAGTCACGTCCCGTATTGGTTCAAAATTAATCAATACGGTGGAGTGCAACTCTACCAGCAATGTCAAACTCACCCCCGTAACCAGCAGCAAGGCAGTCAGAGGAAAAACCTGACAATAAACTGTACTGTTTGCGTATACTAGTGTTACGCCCTCCAACTAAATAAATTTGTTATTGTGTAATTTTTTTAAATTTAGACTTCAGTTTGCATTTCATTCAATTTGTCATCTTATTCAGGTTCTGTTTAGGGGAATCCTAAGTTAATTTTGAGCATAAATGGACCCTCTGAGTAAAAAAAAAAAAAATGAATTATTGTCAAAAATAAAGATTCAGGAATCATATCATGATTATTGATATCGACTGATATGGAAAAAATTCTGCGATATCATTTTGCCATATCATCCAGCTCTATGAGGGACACAAAGTCTACAGTTGCAGCATCAGTTCAGTAGAGAGCAGGTCCGTCTCCTGATGAGACAGTCAGTGCTACTACAGCTTCATGTTAGCATTAGTCAATGGCTGAGTTTAATACTTATTTTTTAGTATATTTTTAACAGTCCCCACAATAACAAAAAAAATGCAAGTTGAGTTTTAATTTCTGGTAATTTTATGATTTGAGATGAAGGCATCAGCTAAACAAAACATTCTACAAATGTAGAAAATGTGGAGTGTAGCCCTGTAACACTGTGTGTTGGGCTCTGTGCTGCTTTAATATGTTCAGCTTGAGCAGAGCGTTCAGATGATAAACATGTTACACTGTCAGGGTCACTGACATGCAGCACTTACCTCCGGTTTGGTTGAAACGCAGCTTTGCCACTTCTATGTTGTTTTTGAAATTCTGCTCTGTACCCATGGAGACCTGAGTGTTCCTGTCCCAATAATCAGGATCCACAGCCTTTGTCACCCATTCCTGACGAGGAGTCATTTCGTGGCTACTGCTGTCATAGTGAACAAAGGGCTCCCCGTCCACCAGCCCTACAATCATAAACTCCGGGTGGTTCGGTATCCCTGATGAACCACTGTAGACATACTGCAGGGAGTGTGTGACTGGGAAAACAAAACACACGTTACAGTTACAGACACTGGATCACAGTGACCACTCCATTTCTGATCACTTATCCAAATTAGGGATGCTCATTTAGATTAATTTTCCAAACCGACAACCGCCGTTCGTTATCCGAACATTAACCGTTAACTGATTAGATTAGAATATTAAATTAGAATTGAATGAAAATAGAACTGTGGAGTGTCTGATTAACCCTCTGGGGTCGGCGGTCCCGCCAGCGGGATCTGACAGAAATTTCGCCAAACCGTTTAAATAACTCTGCGAGGTTTTGCCATATACACATTTAAAAAACACCCTCAGAAACCTTGGACGGTCTACTTTTCAAATATATATAGGTAGAAACTAAATATATTTTTACAGCTTCATGATATGAATAGAAAGAACAAGAGTGACTGACTTAAGCATCTGCGTTTCGAAGCAGCTCTGATCGCCTTCCCACTTGCAAATCGCGCTATTCGCATGATAACATGATAATCCGACAGTTAGTATTGGATAAAGAAATATGTGAATACGCCCATTGTGACCGAAATAAACAAGAGCACGTGTCTGGGTAGTGTTTACACCGATCGGGTACAATATAGATACGTCTCTGTAGCTGAAGCTTTGCACCAATGTTTTCACTTTTAGCGGCAAAGCTCGTACCTGTGTTCA